GATGTTTATTATAAAACATATTTCATACCAAGGATTTATATGAGTATGGTTTGCGAGGGTGTGTTGTGTGATGAAGACCTCGCTCACACGGGAGAAGTCGTACGAATTGCGAGATGGTCACAAAATCGCAAGAGTTACCTTCATATCTAGAAATCCTCATGGAAATTATTGAGTCTGTGAAAGAACTGATGCATGTCCATGCCAAATCATTTTTCTAGTGTCCTTGTCTATTTACAAAGCGTAAAAAATTGTGCGTTTTTATATCACGGGGTGGATTTCTAGTGAAGCCAGAAGTTGTTGTTGGCAAGGTCGGAGTACCAGAGCTCATGACAGAATCCAGTTTCGGAAACAAAAAGATGGAGAAGTTATCAATGAAAAGATGGCACACACAGGAGATGATGGACGGGTATATATAAAAGCCTAACGCCATTATCTATGTCTTATGCATTATGTGTAACTAGATGTATCCTGTTGGACGTAAGGTTCATCTAGTGATAACAGGACGTAAATATGAAATGCAGTATTGAGAACATGTTGAGCTTGTGCTCTGAGAACATTCGTAAAGCTTTATTGGTGTCTTGGGAGCATTATGTGACATATTTATTGGCATGGGAAATATATGACATTCACCCTTGTTTCAAATAACTGTGAAAAGAAGCAAATCTGAATAAAATTCAGATGTATAATGAGATGTTAAGCCAAAAAGATTGTCAACATGCTGACACGTTGCAAACATTGCACTTTCAACATTTAATAAATATTTCAATAAATTGTACATAATCCTGACAAATATTTCATATAATAGTCTAAAGATCTCAATGAATCTATACAAATTATCTCAGAGTGCAACTTCAATGAAATGTACACTATGTACAATGAACACATTGCCATATGTACTCTGTTAGAAGCACATGGCCTTATATAAATGTTAAAAGGAAAATATAAATGTATCAATACGAGTTTGGAATTACGTTCTTATAATCCCACCAAAATACAAATGTGTTTGTCTCGCATAAACCTCTATTGGAGATGTACTTCTAAAGGAACAAATATAGAAGTAACATGAGCAAAAAACCGAGAATATATTCTAGCATAAAATACGTAATTGTGACCCTATCGTTATGAGGTTATTCATATCGCCAATCTCAAAAAAATAGGAAACCAGAAGAATACTGCAATATGATTATTATTGTAGGCATAAATTACATATTTGTTGCAAAATAAAAATAAAATAGTTGCCCAGTCTCGGTGGCTGTGATATTCGAGTTACACTTTCTAAATGTTTGTCAACATCGTGGAATGGACCTTCGTCGTGTCCATGTGTACCGTACATAAACACTGAACAGCTGGACACGAATGTAACCAGGTAATTGCTAGCAAACATCGCAACATGCCAGGGTACGCCAATTGTTTTGAGTTGTTGGAGTTGCAATAAACACGTGTCTTTGGATGGTTGCACATAAAAACGTCTGAAGAGACAACAGTGTCATTCAATGTCTAGAACTGTCGCCAGGCACAAAATCATAATTAAAAAAAACTTGTATCATACTGTCATTAGTAAAGCTATTTGAGTAAACAATCGTAATGGTAATGACGTCTGTAAATGTAATAACAATACCCTAGATGGTGAGACTCTCTATTATCTGTGGATCCTATGTCAGTGACTTGTCGGTTACGATGCTTTCTATGACTCAAAAACTAAAAAGCCACAAGCCAAATCCTTGTACTGTGAATATAACCGTTGTGTTTATTTTTAAAATGTGTTCAGCATATTCCAGAAATGGGATATCAACGGCGGTACTTACATTGTTTTGGTACCGAATTGAACCATTCAGTAGTCTATTTTTACTGAAATTTTAGGTCATATAGCGACCCAAAAAAGGGAATCACTAACAGTCATCTGATTGGATACATATTTAGAGATGTGACGTGCGTATCGTCGTTGTTTGTTTTTTTAAATAAAGACCAACCCCCTGGCTGGGGCCAGGACCTGTACTCACGTGTGAGGGCTGGCCATGAGGCCACTGACAGAGATATAATGCAAAACTGAATGCCTGTCATTCTGATTGGGCGATAGAGTGTTTATGAATATGCAATATACTACTGGTTTTCAACACACAGTATTTTCAAATACTGTTGTCAACTGTAATCGGTAAAATATTATTTTGCTCCGGGTATTTGGGATTCAATGGAAAAGCATGAGAAAATATAATTACGCTTGCCCGTGAACCTGAAAGTTTTGTCGATCCTTAAAACGGAAGCAGACTTACAACGCTAATCCGAGTTTGGATATTTTTTTTAAATCAACGACCGGATGAATGAAAAATACAATGTTCTCCCGGCGGAGATAGATAAAAAGCTGCGAAGTCTCACCAATTCTTTGGCTAAGCTTTTTACAAGGGATATCTACATGATGGTCCCATGTTCATCTACAGTATTACAATATTTTCTTCATTAAAAATCTTCACCACCTGTCCATTATTTAGCCTTTGACGGGATGCAACAAGCATAGATTTTGTTTTAGATGTGTTGATTGACATGTATTAACCCAACGCAAAATTGGCCAAACAACATCATTATACGCATTGTCACTACACTGATACTTGATCGAGACGATAACAGCGTTTGATCTCAGTCTACACATAGAACTGTCCCCAGGGAATGATGGTAGATAATTTAATAATAATGGTCCTAAAATTTAACCATGTGTTACACCATGTCAAATATTGACAGCATAGGACAGTTCACTCATCAATTACACAACATGCTTTCATGGCAGATAAATACGAATTAAACCATTTTATGGAAACTAGAAAAAAACACACTGAATAATCCCATCGTCCATATTGCTAAGTAATACATCACATAGTTTATGGCAAGAATGGAATTTCCGAAAACCTGACTGAAACAACGAAATTGGATGAAAATTGCATAGGTCATGAGATCCAATCTTTGTGTAATGGAAATACTTTAGCATGCTTAAATATGTCCGGAAAAATACCTGAGGAAATACTGGATTTGAATAAATAAGCAATACTTTCACAAATGAAAACGACAGAAGTCTAGGTGATGTGTTGTCAAGACCAACTGACTTAGAACTGGAGAGTGGAAACAGTTGATCCTAACGAACTGATATGTGACTGGTGGTATAACAAATGGTATTTGTCAATTTGGGTTCAATAATTTTCCGCAAATTCGTAAAATATGTAGCCCCTCCCCCTGAAACACAGGGTTGTCACATGTCAGCAACATATGCAAAATGTATATTAAAATTAATAACAATTTCTTTGAGGTTATTGCTAACTGAAACATGAACGTTGAAAGAGTTAGGTTTACCACCACTGATCAATTCGTTAAGGTATTTCACATGGCGACACTGTTGGATTTATTGATTTTTCTTCACGGCCTTGATTACTAGTAAATTAACTACCAAATTAAGTTGCCTCCATGTTGGTTTAAAACAGTAACATCTCCTAAAATGCGTAAGTCTTCGAAGATTGTCTCTTTCTCTAATTTCAAGTAGAAAGCTCGTATTCAGCCAACTAGGTTGTCGTAATTTTTTACACGTCCACAAACAACGTGGGCATGCGAATCACAAATATATTGTTAAAAATAGAATGCAATGTCTCAGAGGCCAAATTAGTATAGAAATATTGTGTACTGAAAATAGAGGAGTGTTCAGAAAGTCAACCAAAAATAAAGACTCAACGAACACTTCAAAATTTCTATAGCTAATAGAAACATGTTTGTTGGACTGAGGAAAAGAGCGGTGTTCATTACGAACCACGACAATAGGGTTATGGTCAGACATTTCCAAATAATGAATGACAGCCAAATTAACATTATCATTATAATTTACATAAACATGATCCAGACATTTACCGGAGGAAGGCCTCGTAACACCATTTATAATTTTAAAAAAGCCTAAATCAACTAAGAAATTAAACAAGTTGTGTGAACAATTAGATAGAACATCATACTCAAAATCTACAAAAAAATAATGTCTTTGCCTTCTAGGTAAGTTCTTTCAATGTCATGAGCTAACAGCACATTTCCGTTATGAGCAGTACTTGGTGGTCTATAAACGCCACCAAGTAAAATAGACGTACAACTGGATGGAGTTAATTCAATCCACATAATTTCAAGAAAATGGTCCTCCAGGTCAAATCTAGGACTGAAAACAGTCAGAGTTGACGGAGGCCACAACATTTGACGAGTTGATGAAGGCCACATATTGCACAATTCACTCCATACCACCTGCGGCTCATGCATAGATACCCTGAACCAGACTACGACAGTGATTTATTACTTAATTAACATAATTTAATATATAACCTCATTATCAGATGACACGTACACGAAATCATCACTATATATAGCTCTAGCAGATCTTGAACTTGTGATTTGGCGACATTCTTCTATTGATGTCCCACTTTCTTTGGACATGCGCTAGAAAATAACATCATCAGTACCCACAATGCATTTCTGGCATCAAGTGATTGTATGATTGGATAACATATTGAATTATTCACACCTATACTAAATATTCATAATTGGAGTCATATAGGGCATATATCTATCGGAGTTGTTCATTTGAGGATAATATTTTCAACCCTTTATTTTCGCGAAATATTTTTGTCATTTTCGGCGAAAAATAATTATTCTATTGATTAATTATTATATCAATTATATTGACTTTTTTCTTGATAACCACTAACAATAGATAAATATGTATGTATCTTAGGTGGAATTACATTAGCTGTAAATTGTATTATAGGGTAAGTATCAACACTTGGCCTCATGGCTGTGCTACCATTAGGAAGTAAACAGTGTTGGCATAATTAAAATATTAAATGGAAATATATCTTTAACAACCTTGATCAAAATTCTTTCTCGATTACCACAATATTCTTATAGGACAGCGGACTTCTTTCAACAATCAAAACGTATTTATATTTATTTGATTCAAGCTTAAATTGTGAGTTTCAAATTTCAAACATCTAGGCGTGTTCAAAATAAGCCAATAGAAAGATGATAGTAAATCCTGTTAGTATTCCAATATTTTGCCATAAAAACACCAACCAGTTATCCCTCCGAGTTGAACTCCGACATTGCGTCAATTGTGGTGTCTGAAGAGAAAGAAAAGATTGGTGTCATCTACTGTAAGAACAGAACAGATGGAAATCATCATGAGCATATTGATATAATAACTTACAGATATACAGAGAACATGCTATGTAAATTAGCAAGTTATTGTGCATATATATAATATAATATAATAATTAATTAATAATATAATGTTATGATTATTCTGAACAAACATTCACCATGTACAAAATTTTTATACGTTCAGGTAAACCGTTGTAAACTGAACTCACAAATTAGCTAATTAAGGTACACAAGCAAATATCAAATTCTCACAACACACAATAGATTCGCCACATTTAAGGTTAATAATAAAATTTGTTGTCACAATGATTACTTACCATATCAGCCAATGATATGTACAGAAACATACCAGCAGTGATTGCAAGTATCCACTCACTGACGCCGTCTATACTACCAATACCTAGACCAAGGTATAAACCAAGAAACGCAAAGCTTGCAGAAATTGCATTCCAAAATAAAGCTCGCTTATAACCCATACCAGTTGACACTAAAATGGCATAATCACCTAGTAAAATAAATGAATAACAATGGCATTGTGAAAGGCATTTACAATGTTGTTTTCTTGTAAATGAAAATGTCATACTAATGTTAAGTTTTAACACATCCAGTCTAATATATACACGGAAATGTGAAATTATATAATATTGTTTAGTTTTTACATTTATAATCTAATATGTGTAAAGATTGCTTGCGTCAATGTGTGACTAATCTATTCTGTGTCACAGCGTTCTAAGCCACAAACAGAATATTTTCTGTGTTAATCCAGTGAAAAAATGACTACAAACAGGTCATACATCACACATTATGGTGTATTTTATGTGTACAGGAAGTGCTAGGATCTATAGTTTCACTGGATTAAGGTAGCGACACTATTATTTGTGTTGAAAATTACGATTTTCACATTTATTTATTAATTAATGAAATGCACTATAAACTTTCATCTGATAAAGTCAACGTAACCTAGAATGTCATGTAAGTTGGTTAAAATGTAGATTTTCTGAAGGGAATCAAGGCAGCTTCAGTAGTGTTTTCCAAAATCAACAACACAGGTTTAATCTGTGTGCCTATAAGTTTCAAATATTAAGACAAAGCAATGTTAGGATGTGTTATCAGTAGCTATCTGAAACACAATGAGTGTTTCCAAACATTTGAGTGGTTTGTCTCCGTCCCTGTTTATTTCACAGATTAGTCATTTACATATGAATGTGTCAGACACAAGGTCACACAGCCATTGAAAAAAAAAATCATTGATTTTGGTGTTTGCATCTTCCGATTTTATCGAATTATAGCTATCCCATTCCTTTATTTTTTGGGGTTTCCAATAGTCTTACACATTTGGATGTCCCTGCACATGTTAAAACAGACCTTGATGGGAAAATAAATTTATTGTGCAGATAAACAAGCTTGAAAATCTTTGCTGTTACTTCATGGACGTTTTCTATGAGTTTATGTTTTTCAAAATACTAGGTCTTTAACAAAAAATAACGTATACTTATTGTCGTCGGATTAACACCAAATTTGCACAGCTTTAAGGTGACAACGAGAGGAACTTGAATGTGTCCAGACAAACTATTTCATCGATTATTTACAAGTGTATTGTGGTTTGAGTTGGGGGCAATGCGACTAAAACAGAAATAGAAAATGTTGACACTACTTTTCAAAACGCTTTGCTTGAATAAAACTGACCAGACACATTTAATTTACCAGTCTATTGAACAACTAGGAAAAGTGAGAAAACAACTTCTTATCACCAGCATAAATGCGTAATTATTTTTTTTACAAAAACAGTAATTTTTCACTCTTGATCAAGTAACGCACCGTAGAATGCAGATACGGGCATGGCAAACACACCTTTGAAAAGCTTGAAGTCTGGCGATTCCAAAAAATATATACTTTCCTGGGTCTATTTGTAGTCATTTGGTCACAATTAGAAGATGAAAACAAGTATGCAAATAATAGTCTCGCTACCTTAAGTGAATGTGTGTTGATTATTTATAGCATCAAGTCAGTATACTGCATCTCCTACATACTCTTGCATGTACTTTGTCAAAGTATAACATACGCCATACGATGATGGCATGATAAGATTGGTTATATTCCAGGTGTAAATTCCATTATAGTGGTATCTGGCTTCTCTTATTTGGGTTTGTTTCACACACAATAATCAGTGAGTGGTGAATCAGTTCAAACGTGAACAGCGGGTACATGAATAGTTCACAGAGCTCGCACTGCACCAGGATCAGATCATTTCTCAAAACATCACTTCCAGAGATCACCAATTTCCATCTTTTAATGCCATTTGATTTTTCATTTCGAGTCATTTGTATTTATTTTCGAGTCCCCTGCGTTTTTTGCTTTTTTATTTCTTTGTTTTTATTATGAATTAATTTGTTTTTATCGACGATTTCTTGGTTGGTATTTAATTTTTTACTTGTTTTACCACAATTCGACAGAACATGAACGATGGCATTGTTTCCCATGAATAAAATGTTCATCTTACCAAATTCGTGCGGCAGTTCATGACATAACACAGCTATACTGGTAGACACCCCCGTTGAAACATCAATACAAAATGCTGCACCAATTGCCAGACCATCGGCGAAGTTATGCAAACCATCGCCTATTATCACCATGACAGCCAAACTGTTCAAATCTATGAATGAGATACACAGTCTTAGACCTTAGACGTAAATGAGATCTCGTTGAGAGTGAAATCCATTCTCTCCCTTCGTATCGTTAACTATTAGGCTATAGTAAACCCATGACAGTCGGAACAGTAGACGCAATTAAGGTCGCGAATGGAACACTATTTGAGGGACAAAAACAAGTCTCGCGGATCTCTCGCTCACAACGCGATCTCGGTGGCCATTTTTGTCTAAAGGCCCGGTCACACCGACCGAACTTTGTTGGAGCATTCCTGGAGCGGTGAACAAATTTTATCACCGCTCGTTACCGTTCACCGCCGTTTAACAGAAGTTGGCCACCGTTAAGGCAACGCCGTATACGCTCGGTCACCGCTGATGGTCCCTCCTACAGCTCCGAAAGTTTTGAGCTGCACAAAATATTGCGAGCAGTGAGGAGCGGGCAATTTTCCGCTCCGGCAAAGTTCACCACCGCTCTAACAACGCCCAGTCAAGTTTGGCTCCGCTAGACGCAAGTTCGTGGACGATTGGGTCCGCTAGGCCAACGCAGAAATCGTGAACGCTTTTCCTGGGCGGTATGCCGTTAAACCATGCGCCGCTCTATCAACGATCGCGTCACCGCTAAACCAACGCTCGCTATCGTTAAACCTAAAGCAACGCCGGCTTCAGCGGTGCACCTCTAGGGCAACGCCCGTGTTTTCGATTTTTTCCCATTTTGTGAGTGGTGACGAGCGTCGTCTAAATTCCGCCCCCTCTCCCTACCGTTGAAGAAACGCTCCAACAAAGTTTGGTCGGTGTGACCGGGCCTTAAGGTCTACCAATGGGAACGATGTAAATATAGTATTAGCGTATATTTTATATTTAAATAAAACACTCCAAAAAAATTAACCGTTTTTGACACTGTGAAATTCATTCGTTTTCATGTACATACAGTATTTTTACAAAGTAAAATTATATTTATTAAAGTTATTCTTCATGAACGAGCTACATATTTTGCTTTTTTCATTTAGCGAATAAAATGCACAAATATCTACAATATATCAAATTCTATAAATATTTTTTAATATTCACGATAAATATGAATGTTAACATTGGTATATACATTTTCAAAAGAATTTCACAATGTCGAAAACGGAAAGCTTTTATCGTATAATCAGGTTTATTCAGTCTTAAATCGAATATAATCAAAAATTCAAACGCTGTTTGTCACTGGACGCCACTGTTCTTAAAGGGCGGCTGTCGTCATACAGCGTCTTGTTTGACAAAGCGAAATACACAACGCGTGTAAAATACATTGTGTGCGTGAAATTCGGGCTCACGCTGCGCTGCGACCACCGCCTTTTAACTATTTATTAAAAGGCTATGTCCTCAAAAGCTGGTTTCCACAACGACTCAGGAAGATGCTTCCATTTTACTATTCATTATAATAATTGTTTGTTCCCAACGTGCCTGACACAAGTTAGTTAAACTTATTTTAAAACAAATAACAGAGAAAACTTTAGGAGACGAGGAGGGGCATTATTTTTTTCTATCTTTCAGAGAAATAAATGAGAGACAAAAAACAACCTATGCAACGAAAGCCGCGTGTGTCATAACCATATACAATTAAAATGGCACTCCAACCATCGAATATAAAACGATCTGTCACAAATTTAATGCTCCATTAAAAACAAATTACTTACACTGCCACCATTTTTTCTTTGTTTTGAATCCTCGCAATGTTCTTCAATAATTTCCAGTGTTTTCTCATCAGAAAGTCCAGACTAAAAGTGCAATATGTAGTGTAATATGTAGTTAATATGTCATCTGGAGATTGCACCTTCAAATATGCGGCTGATCTGCACTGGCTCGGAAGATGAATTCTGATTGGCTAAAAAAACAAAAAAACTGAATGCACGTTCATTGTCAGTATTGTTATGCAAATTCAAACTAGCTAATCATTTACAACCTTCCGAGCCAGTGCAGATTAGCCCCAAATATGGCATTTGTTGATTGAATGAACACAGCAATCATAAGAAACACTAACGTTCATGCAACTCGTTCCTATTACAATGAAAGGTGGATATAAATAAACGTGAGTACCACAAGTTCAGCGTTAGATTCAGATTTCGTCACAAGATTCTTCACTTGAATGGAGGTATCTTCCTTATTTCCCTGCTCGAGGCTAGGTACATGCTGGTGACTGTGCCCATGCCCATCACCACTCTAGAATACAAACATAACAATTATTACAATTGCTAATTAGCTCAATTCATCGTAATTACTTAAAATATAATCATAACGTCACAAAGTCGTCGCGCAGCTCGCATTGAAATTGCGCGTGAATATTAAGTATTTTCATATAGGTTGACCAGGCCAATGTCTTGGTGTTTTATTTAAGTCAAATTTGTCTTTTAATGATTGTATTAATAATATTGTAAATGAGTTTATTAGAGCACTTGGTTATCCTAAATGTTATATCACAATATATCCGTTGTGTATATGTAAGAATTGAATGTTTTAAATGACCCCGTAAAGCGGCTTTGCCATTTGAAATAAATAAATAAATAAATAAATAAATAAATAAATAAATAAATAAATAAATAAATAAATAAATAAATAAATAAATAAATAAATAAATAAATGCTTCGTGACGGTGGTGACAAAAATATACACTTACCGCGCCAATGTGTATAGCTATGAGGCCCATGAATCGCTCTAATAGAAAAAAACAATAAATAGATCCCCAGACAACCGTCATCTTCCAAAGATAGTCGAGATCGTGGCTGTGACCGTCATCCCCATGTCCCATTCCCGTCGCCTACAATGTACGATAAAACAAAGAATTGTATGTCGGTCCAAATTGCCAAGCAATGTTAGGATGTGTTATCAAATAATACAAATAATATACCACGAAATTCTCACTTGACGCCTCCCTTTCTCCCCCGACAGGAATTGATTATGTATGACCTATCCATATATTGTAACATCCTGAATACGGTATAATGTACTATGAGGTTATTACGAGGATACCGATAAATATGCACGAGGCCGATGCGACGGCGTACTGTCTGAGTGCATACTATGCGGTATCCTCGTAATAACCTTATTATTATACATCTTTTCCTCCAAATGATACTACCAGGGAATGCCGAAATCCGAAAAGTTTGCAACAAAATTAGCGAACTTCTTTGTTTGGAGTCTGATCAAACCCTGGTGGCAGCCACGTCTGTTTGTATTATTAGATTACGCACGTGATCATTCATTACAACACGCTGTAACTTATGGCGTTACGGTGACAGATGTATAATGATAGAAATTACTGAAGTACTTACGTGTGGAATCAGATGCAATAACGCATCAGCAGTCATGGTACTCACGGATAGTGCTATCAAAGTTTGCATTAACTTATTATAAAATGTCTTGCCTACAACTGGTATTGTTAATATTCCTAACAAGGAACACAAACAAATGACGAGGACTGCTATCGTGCCATAAAGAAACACTGTAAAGTAAAGTGAAATTCGTATGTTATAAATGTATCCACTGTCATCGTATGTTGCGCCCTCTATCAACAACTTTATTACTTCGCCCGGGACATCATCAACAGAAAATTGGAGTAATTAAAATAAATTATTTACATTGTGACAACTATCGTTGTTCTAATTGAAACCGACAAAAAAGAATCGTCGAGATAGCCATGTTTCGTGAACTTGATGTAAACGCATAACCGATAATGTGTAATTTAAGTAATGTCCCCAGAATCTTGTAGATTGGCTATTAAGGTAGCGTAGTTTCGTCCACGAATTCCCCCCGTTCTCGTGGCTTCCGAGTGCTAAGCGATGTAAACTGGACATGGTGTTAAGATTTTTTATTGTAATCTGTCATAGCAGCTCTGAATAATTTCCACACTTCCACTGAACTGCTACTATTATGATGTCTCGCTGTCTTATTTTAAGGCAATGTTTAATAAATTGTGCCTGGATTGTGTGGGTTGATTTAATTTGAAACCTGATTTATATATTGTATCTAGTATACCAGTACTCCAAGATATGCTACGCATCAACAGTGTTAAATAAGTATGGCATATCAATTTCAAATATTTCGTTGCACATTTAATCTTCCGCTGATGCTTTATTATTATTATCCAGGGATTTTATTGCATTTTTGATTTCACTTTTTGTTATTGGTCTGTCCAACTCCTCATCCTTTTATTTATTTGTTTTCTTGAACTCTTTCCTTATATGAAGAAATTACTACGAATTTACGGATCGTTTAGGTATTGTTTTTTTTTTCTTGTATTTGAATTTGAGTCCAGCAGTCTTGGTCAAACCAGATTTTCTTCCTGTTTACTTTAGTGTTCATTTTTACTTTAAGAATAATTTCAAGTTGTTACTTGCCAGTGATATTATCACGAATGACGAAACATCGTCGACAGCTTTTTCTGAATCCATCTCATTGTATTTACCCAAAATAAACTTATTGATATTTGTGCTTTCAGTCATTTTCAACGTAAATTTAATTTCTACCATCCCAAATATATTTTGGTGCAGAGGAGCCAAGGTGTTGTATTTGTCTTCACCTACTTGTCTATTTATATATATGTTCAGTGACACACATAGAAAGAGATAACTGTATGTAGTTGTTTTCGGTCTAACAATCAGGCCATGTACGAATAAACGTACATGGCTGAAGAAAATGATGAAAACGTATACTCCTTTATATTTGTTGCATGTCAGTGTGTATTCATCATCGAGGCACAGTGTCCACAGTACGGAACATATTTAAGTTATCGAAGTTCTAGTTCTACTCCTCGACTAGTCCCGTTCAATTTCGCGGTGTGTGCAGACTATAATTTCAGATACTTCTCCATTATTAAATTACCGTTATTCTCACTACTATTAAATACCATCACGTTGCATATACGTTACATATCTTATAGCATGGAAACATAAATAATCGTTTAGTGTACTTACTCTCAGCCGAGGCGGAGTCGATTGGTTCAGATTCTGGATGGCATACACCACTGAGTATTTGCTGTAGCAATGAAGGACTCATCTCAAAAAACTCGTCTTCGTTTGCACCAATCGTGTGATTAACACTGAACATACCGAATAGTTCACTCGCACTGTAACACTGTGAAATTATTCTGTGATTTAGATGTGTGCAACTCTCATATTTGAATAGTTTTGACGATAATTATATATCTATAAACACACATTTTGTCACGTTGAAAAAAAACTATAATAGAATAAAAGGATAAAAACTGACCCCGTGAGATGTTTTGTATGCCACGCCGCCTTCTTCCTCCATGGTATTGTACGAATCTTGGAGTTTCAAGTCACGTCTCTGTCTGTAAATCGATACGCTGTGGCTGTGCAATTCCTCTTCTTCTCCGATACCAAGATCCACCATCATATGTTCCAACGCTGAAAGCGAACATCATGAATATGTATGATCTGGACCACTTGTGAATCGAGTCGGAATAATGTTAGAAGAATATCAATGTACCCACGGATAGCGACATAGACATACAAGTATAAAACTCAAATAGTAAAATTAAACGACGAGACACTATTATATAATAATGAAATGTTGCAGTTGGTAAATTACAGAGAGAATTGCTGCAACACCTATAAAAACGAAAGCAAATTGAGTGCGTTCCAGGCCATAATTGGCGGTGTGTCACAATTCGAATCTGGGTCAAGAAGTCATTTGGCGAAGGGGGGGGGGGGCTCAAGTATCACTTACAATGCAGGGATATGTAACCATCTTCTCCATAGAATTTAAATATTTCCCACAAAAAGGAATCAGTATCTATCTTTGATGGTTCGCCAATGCAGTAACCAAACACTAGATACGACACGGTGATTGTCGACAGTTCTGCTAATTCGTAGGCATCCGCCCCGATGCTGTGATTGGCCATTGTGGATTCACTGTAGGCGCTCTTTGCTGTAAAACACTGTACATAAAACAAACTTAGCATACTGCCCTGGCTACGTGTGAATCAAAGACAGGAAGTATCCCCATATTGTGATGTATGAATCAGTTGTTAGTCCTTAGACTAAGCAGATTAAGCCCGCTACACACAATCCGACTCCACACACCCGAGCATCCATTTGAATATACACAACGTCTGCGCCCGGTTGCGTTCAGACGACTTTAGCGAATGTGTCAA